AAATGGTGTTAAAATGATAATTATTTCACAAACTACCAATTGTAAATATTTAATGAGATCCTTACTTTTGCTGACGTCTCGTCATAAATTTTCTTTTGTTGGGCTGCCTTCAATTCAAATTCTTTGCGATCCTCTAGAATTTGGTCGTACTCTGCCTGTAATGCCTCGATTTTCTTTTCAGTTTCTATAACTCTCTGTTTATGTTTTTCTCTTTGACGCTGAAGCCTATCTTCCAAATTTTGCTTTTGTCGAGACAATAGCTTGTAATATCACAACAAAGCAAGGTAGTGAATAGATTGATTACAGATTCTCGAGCAATTTTAGCAAATCAAAATATCACGAAAATTAATTAAGAATTCTACTTACTTGTTCCTTCTTTTGCAACTCACGTGAATGCTGACGCTTATTCTCAATTTCTTCCTGAAGATCTCGTAAGTCTTTATTCGCCTTTTCACATTTATTCCTCTGGTTGATGACTTCATCCAATATTTTATTGCATGCCGTTATTTCCTGAATTTGAGCTATGTAAGCACTTTATTCTCTGAGATTATTTGCACAGAATGTGTAAAAAAAATGTTACCTCTTCCACAATGGACAAATTGTCAACCTTTGATTGAATTTCACGGACCTTCTTACCGAGCCCAAGCATCAAGTCTTTTTCTTTTGCCATGGTCTGATTCATCTCTTCAATTGTCTAGTAAAAAGACAGTTGGTTAAATCTAATATTTAAGCTTTTTTTTTTTGAATCATGGACACCTCCAATTTCAAACCTGTTTTAGCTTTTCTGGGTTTACTACAATGCGACTCTTAAGCTTCTCGAGAACTTGCTTGGCAGTTACCACTAAGAACTGCGTGTTATTCTATGAAGCACGAACGAACATTCAATCTTAATGCGATAAAATGCTAACAAATTTGTAGATATAATATGCAATGTCATATTTACGATCTTTTCTTCTGATTCAGCCTTTGTGCTTTTTAAAGTAGCTATCTCATTTAATAGACCCGTTTGTTTCTTTTTCAACTCACGCATGCTGCTCATAAGACTAGCATTTTCTTGCAAATATTCTTTAACCTCACTCTCATCTTCGATACGTTTTTTCCTATTTGTTTAGATAATTCAGAGAATAGTTTCACATGTAAATAATAAAATAAGTTGGACTGACTTTGATCTTTCAACTTGTTCAAAAAGCATTTTATATCGTTCAGATAACTCTTCATTATGCTTCATAAGCTCTTCCTTTATAAAATTTAAAGATAATATTAGATTTAATTCTTTTAAAAAAAAACTATATATATATATATATAGATATGCATTACGGAATGTTTTTCATATTCATTGAAAATGTGCAATTGATCTTCACGAAATCTTATAAAATTAATAGCAGCACTAAGAAATACGCGAAGTCGAGATACTTCTGGTCTAAGAATATCATTAAATGAAAATTCCTCCATTCCTATGGCTACCATAACTTTTTTCCTATCAAATAGGAGCAATCTTTATTTAAAGAATTATTATACGTAGAAACGGTACCAATCATTTAATATTTACATTCGTTTGTAAATCGCCATCATTTTCATCGACTCAGAATAAAATTCCTATAATTTTTTTAAAAAAAAAAATCAATTTATTGATCAAATTGTTAAAACTTAATAATTAACTGGTTCAACATACCGGTCTGTCGTAACCCGGAATTCTTTTACGCAATCGCATTTCTAGATGACCAGACCAATCGGTGTCACCCCATTCTTCCGCTGTTGCTCCCGTTGTATACTCTACTATGAAACCGAAAGCAATGAATATGCGAGCTGTAGTAGGTTTTTTCATATCTTGAGCGGTAAAATCTACCGAAAGTTCTTTAAAAAATTCCTCAATCTCGGCGTCCTTTAGTATAGGAAAACACCACATA